CAATGATGATCGACGATCGTTTTTTACTTAAGATTCAAGAAAGTTTAGGGTGTTTGAACAGTCATAATCAGAACACAAATTGTCAAGGTCTCCAATTATCACTTGCTCCGATGTCTCATGACAGATCACTTGTCGGCAATCCGATCATGGGAGCTTGAGTGCTTGCACAAATTGCTTCTGAGCACACAGAAGGGGTTGTGAAGANACCGCACATGTCTAGACCGTCCCGTCTTAACTCTATACAGAGGTCATACTTATTGTGTTGTAATGATTAAGACACTAAAAACGAGCTTGTTTACCAATTTGTTCTCAAATTTGAGAGTATCAAGCTGGGATTAGCCCATTCGATTGTTCAGAGTCACCAGGCACTCTTCATGGTCTTGGGTGTGGGTTTCACTTCCTGGGAGATAGTTTATTCCCCATGAGGTAAATGCAATGAGCCATTAGCACAAGGGGATGACTGTCAACCGTGAAGCTTAGGGGTAAGGTTTTGAAGTCCCTACCCGAATGTTTGCAGGTCGAGTCCTGACAGGGACACAGAAAGATTCAAGCAACTTTCAAGGAATAAATACACTCTAGCCAACGTCTTTCAACAGGACTAACAAAGAACTAGCCTATTATCATGTTGAATGAATTGATGTCATTGAGAATTTCACGAAGCGCAATTCAACCCGGATCTCCTCATAAAAATAGGATACAAATATAGTCTAGCAGTTTTCGCTGTATTGGTTCGCTCGGATCTGCATAGAGTACCTGATTTGATGACAGGTTTTCGACTGAAGTCAACAAATATTCAACTATTTCTCCCGTTGTAGATTTTGTTGTGGGTTTCAATGAACTCAGCTATTTTCATCAAAGATAACAAGCTAAAATATTCCGAATGGATCATTTTTGGTCAGTTCAAATGTGGAATGATTGGGAAAAGGATAATAGACATGGCTTCCATGCGAAGAGTTCGGAGTTGTGATCCCAGACGGGTTGGTGAATATGCTGTATAGGGCTTACAAAACAGCACGATTCGGATCTGCTGCCTTTTGAGTGCTTGATTGACCGAATGACCTGGGGATTGTACGTGAAGATGAAGTTTGAACGACGGTCCGTCAAAAATCAGTGAAAAATATACTATGTTGCTGTTTGCAAGTAACTGCCGACTAAAAATGTGAACAGCACATGAATACGATTTTATTGCATATCGGGAAACCAATACCTTGAGAGTCACCACATTGATTTGAATAAAACAGTTATCATTTTCTCAGAATAATATCATTCCAACAAACCTTGCAATCCTTACTGGTTGAGAGACCGGAGTTAAGTAGCAGCGGATTTGATTCCACAATCCTTTGTCAAATCAGGTAAGTGAGAGTAATTGAAGAAAAAGATTGTAGGCATTGTCAAGGACGATGGAAAGCGCGAAGCACTCGGTTTAGACATATGAAACATTCTACCGATGAATTGACCGTTAATCTGATCAGAAACTGTTCAGAGACTAACGGAGGAAATGCAAGTTGTGAAAATAGAGACTGCCAATTTTGCCTAATGAGAGAAAGAGTATTGCTGAATTGAGAAGAAATTTTTTAGATGTACGTTCTAAACGTAAACCTCATATCAGTCTGATGTGTTGTTTGATACGATAACCTCCTATGCACAATCAGTAATCAATATGGATTTAGACGCAAGGGGTCACTTTATTCAGGTTCAAACGTGATTTTTCACTAAGGTTTACAAAAAATCCCTTCAATTATAGAATTTTCTCCTTGATATAAATAACCGAAAGACTGCTCACGAGCAATGTACGGAAAGTCAACCCGAGCTTTGTAATCTGTGCGGAGAAAAAGTAAGCTCATTTAGGAGAGTCACCGAGATGATCAGAGGTTAAATGTTTGTGTTACGCTAATTATTTTTGTGCATCCAAAAATTACTGTATGAGGTCACTCAAAGTATGCTTATTCAAAAATTAATAATTTGCGGTAGCTTTTTCCGAATTTTGTTGTTGAACTGACATACATTTTTATTACACGGAATCAGCATGCCTCTGATCCACGAGTGAACTCATCAGCAACGTCACCTTTGAATTCACTGGGATTCAAACTGCTGTGTAGCTCACCAGATCATTCAACCAGAAGATCTACATTCAGGTAAACTAACCAGCTGCACAATTGTCATAATTAATTCTGCTTTCTCTCTCTAGTGACAGGATGATTTACTGATATTGCACAAATTTCCTCTCTTTAAGCGAAATGGGAAGCTTGAAAGTGAAGTTTGAATGAACGAATTCTGATTTAGTGAGAGGATGCTTGTGAGGTGAGTATCCCAAAATCTGGGACCGCGTGCTTAATTAGTTCACCCTGGTCTCCTATACGTATTCAATGCACAACTAATCTATTCGCCTCCTCCATGCGCGGAAGAACTGAGAAAAATCAAGACGACTTACATTGGAAGTGGTTAGTTATTCAGATAGGATCATTCAAACAAGGCATCAAGGTCACCACGAAAGTGCAACTGGAGTTGGATGCAAAGAAACCGGTCAATTTGTCCATGTCCTTTAAAGGCTACCCATGATCAGAAATAATCAGAAACACGTATTATGCCGCTGATCTGTGAATAGTTTAAACTCTCAGACTAGTTTTCCCATTACACGTAAAAGGCAAGCTACTGATGGAAATGACTTCATTTTGCATTCACCATATTGTGTGTTCCTGCGGAACCATTTGCATTGATCTTATCACCCCACCTTTAGTAGAGCGCATTCAAAAAAATCACATCACATCATTGACTGATGAGAATTGCAGGAGAAGGGACATCAATAACGGCTCATTTTACTGAAACGGAACATAGTGTCAGAATTGGTCAAACCAGTCCACACAATCACCGTAGTGTGATCAAAGCAGGTCTAGGGTTTCGGCCGGTCAACCTTCTCTTGCACCTCGCGAAATGCTTTCGCATGGCCAAGCGTCTCAAATAGCCCTACTCGCTACCCTCTCGTGGAGGAGGTGCTTTCCCACCAGATTGAGAGGACGAAAAGTCGACATCCAGGACTATAACCGGGTTGGCGAACCACTGGTAGTTTACCTAGGGAAGTTGGTCAAAAACCCTGATTCGTAGCCAACCAAGAGGAGGCGGATGAACTACACACATTCGCGGTTGTCAGTGGTCACCGATTCGATTGGGCATGGAGGTGTATTGGGCACCTTAAACGTTTGATCCTGTCCAAAGATTATTGTACCATGATTTGTTTGGCACACAGTCTGAATTCAGGCGTGTGAAAATAAAATAAATAAAATTACCAAAAGCGAAAGCGATAACTATTCGGTCAAACAACTTCTCCTTATGCGTTTAAAAACAATCGATATGGATTTACCACGGCTTGCCATAAACACCACAGTGATAGAACGCCCGTTAAAAGACAAATGTCAAATCGTGTATACATTTTGATTTATTCGACAATACATTTGCAGAATGATTTGAAATCCCATGCACCCACTTACACGCATACACACAAACGTGTTCCACCTTATTCTGGCTCCTTTACGCATTTTAATCAGTGATCAATAAAGAAGTGCTGTAATCGGCTGGTGAATGAAGCTTGTTTGCCAATTCAACTTGATGTAATCCACAGGTATATCCCAGTATACCTATTATTAGCCTATCATAGGGTTATAAACGCGGCTGTTCTCGAACTAGTTTTGAACTGAGTCTAGAGTTTCACGTGCGCTGCTCTTTTCCTACCAGTCATCAGATATTCTGACATATTGGGTGAATTGTTATGAGCATACATCTTTTAGTCTTTAAACTGCTGTCTAATAAGACCGATTTTTCACCTGTCAACCTTCAGTCTTGTGCGAAACATAAGCCGCTAGAATCATTCTCCTCCAAAACTGGAAGTAAATGTAAGATGGACCACGAAATCTGCAACAAAATTATCTGGATATATGCTTAAATATCCACATGTATGTGTATTTATATGTGGCAATGTCTTACCTTTCAATGTGAACCAGGCTACTTTTCCCAAACCAACCAAACTTCAGAGAAGTTGATGCTTCTTCGGTGACAGGTTGACGGGTTTAGAAATGAAATAGGTTTTGACATTTCTGTTTCATAAGACCAAAATTGTTAGACACAGGTCTGAGCGCAATGGGAAACTGACGTTGACAGTGTATTAGCTCTCAACCCCATCACAGATATTTGAATTGATTTTGATTTAACCTGTTTAGAACCATGTCACGGAAGAATTCTCGGAGATATAAGATGATCAGAAAACCGTATGGAACATGATTGGTTTTTACTGCATAAAAATAACTGACAGAATTACGCTGCTTTATTGATATTTTCTGATCAATTTGTATTACAAATGAATTACACTTGCATAGATGATTTTCAATCCTGCTGATTCCTTAATGTTTTAAAGTCATTGATTTTAGGAGATTGTTGATTTTCTCAGTAGAATGAACAATACTCTACGGCACTTTTTAACACAGACCCATTCCTGGGTTTTGAAATGTCAATTCTTAGATGATTGGCATAGATTTCAGGCAGAATGCCTAACCATTGAATAAGCTGAGTTCGGCAAGTACACCACTTATATCTCTCATACAACTATTTTTCAGGACTCATTCTTATCAAAAGGGCATTCTGTCTCGAGTGAACTGTTAGGAACAATGGTCGACAATGCCCAGGGATGAAGGGGGAGGGCGGTTGCCGAGTGGTTGGATTTTATGCACGCTCACAGAGGAGTAATTTATCTCTATCTGAGTGGTCTTAAACCTTCAAATCCGAATGGATTCACTGTAATGAAATGATATTGTATTAATAGAATTTAAAAATACAACGGGAGAAACGTAAACGTACTGCAATCATTAATTACGTTCAAATGTGTTATTAGTTTTTTAAAATAGCTATTTTTCGGTGATATGATTCTCTTTCGTCAAGTTTATTCTCTTTTTGAACCTATAGCACTCTGGAATATCAGAGGAAAGGTATCTCGGAACAAGATTATTCCTGAATCACAAAAGTAAGAATTCAAACACGGTATAAAAAATAGTTACCTGAGAGAACAACTCCCGCCGTACGGGACAAATTCCCGTCATTTTGGCTCCTCGAATTTCCAACTGTTGATCAAGTTGTTGTGTGAGCTGGATCACATCCATTCGAGAGGCTGGGCAGGATGAGACCTCTTGGATGTATAAACTATCTCCAATTTGATACCGTCTTGGAGGCATGATACTGCGTAAAATCCCTTCCGTAGACTCAACCGTTCTTGAGCCTTGTGGATCTAGTAATGCTGATGTGATGGCTAGGCCGTTTGCGGATCTTTTGGACGGATCGACTGAATGTGATCGAGCGGCTGGGATCGTGCTACTTTTGCCAACTGTCTGACTTTTAGATTCCTCCGACTGCAAAGCCTGTTCATGAATTGCACTAGCCAGTTTGTCTGTCACTCGAACTGGTGATTTGTATTTAATCAAACTGGATTCAGGCAAGATTAACTTCTGTTCCGGTAACATTCTCTATCTGTTCATATAGATATTTATGTTTTTGTCTTATCGGCTTAGAGAAAAGAAACTGAAAACTTGACTGAACTTCAGGTGTGAATTACTTTGAATCCCAGCGATCACGTGCGGTTGATCGATAAACTTTCCTACTCAACTAATGGAAGTTGCTTCAATGAATATCCACAAAATGATCACTGGTATTATAAAAGAGAATGATTTACATGAACTTCAAGAAACTGAGGGAATAATACACATATTTTTGACCGGGCTCTAAAATATTGCTCATGGAAGATGAATACTGAATGAACTCGAAATCACATTGTTCAAATGAAGGAAGGTGGTGAGTAAATAATCCTCAGTTATTTGGAATATGATAATTTCTTATATAATTCTGCATAGCTGAAATGGAGAAAAGACGAGTTTTGAAAAAAAACACGAAAGTCGGAGCGTTTTGAGGGCGAAAAACACTCTGGCGTGTTGTGGCAGGGTTTAACGAACCGCAGACTGTTTTTTATGCAAACTTAATTAACATAACAAAGGGGGATACAGGATCTTCTTCAAAGATACGTTCCGGTTGCCTATTGATCTAGTGAAACCGGAGGTGTACCTTCACGAGACTTCTGTTTGCATAACCCCAAATCTGCGCTCATAATGACAAAACAGCAAATTTTGTATTAAATTTCGGATTATTGGGATTCACATTTTGTCAAACACTACGGAGAGTGGAAGAAGCAGTCTACTCTTGCAACTTATCACGTAGACACTGCAATAGGTTAACTCGGGACAGAGGTACCTAGTGTACTGTGTCACTTGTCTTTCCTTTGACCTTGACTGCGGTACACCGGTTTTTCCACCGTGTTGTAGTGTAACAAGGCAGACCAAACCGACCGCCCTAACTGTAATTCTCCCGGTTGTCCTCCAGGTATCTCAGCACCAATTGGGCACGAGCAACCGAAAGAAGGCCTAAACGAGATCGATGGAAACCGAGACGAGAACTGAGACAGTTGTTAAAATGACAGACTGTTGAGTTTATCGATTTTCGATACTTTTGAATTGTTCCCCCGCGATTGCGTTGAACCGCTGTAAATTCCGTTCAGAAATAAACCCTGTGCTTCGCTCACTCCATTCTGTGATTCTCCGTGTGTTTTTGTGCTGTATGAACGTATTACGGGTGCTAACGCGTATACGATCCTCCGTCGTTGTTTCCAGATTGTGCATCACGGGAATTGAACTTAAATTGGCTGATAGCGAACCGTAGCATACCACAATGTGCTAAATTTAATTATTCTATTGTGGTTTTGTGCATTCACCTGGATCCATTCAATCAGAAATGTCTCAAAAAGTCGAGGCTTCCAAGAAAACATGTGTATCCTGCTCTAGGATTGTGGTCTCCAGGGCCAAAGCGCTCCGTTTTGATGGGTGTGATCGGTGGCTGCACCTGAAATGCA